ACTACAGCATGTACATACTTATAGTTATAGCATATTCATAACATACCTTCATACCGTGTACATTGTAACATACCCATAGTAGACCCATATTTTGTACCCTTATACCTATAACAGACCCATTTGTGTAATATATCTACAAATCTATATTATTGCTAATATATATTTTGTAATATATCTATATTATGGCTAAAGCACTTCTGGATGGATGCAAACTGCATTTCGTTGCCTTGTACCTGTGACATGTGCAATGACAATAAAGTTGAATTCTATTCTATTCTATTCTATAGGCTTAAAAGAGCCTAGCTGCTCTCATTCTGCTTTATCAAACTTTCTTTGGGTTACACAACCAGAGAGATAATAGAGAAGATAATTAGACATTAGAGTGTCTTCTCTTCCTCGCTGGCTCCATGACTCTCAGTATGGTGCAGACTAGTTCGCTATGTCTTGCACAAAATCACCACCAAAAACACTACAAATTACTCCCATGATTGTATTTCTTATAAACCCCTGAATCGGGTATAAAAGGAGTATAATGTACGAGCTTATATACTGCTGTTGAAGGCAACATAGATGCACCTGCGTCTTAAGGACGCTGTCTTTGATCCGTTCCCTGATTGGTCCGTTGCTCTTAGAGGCGGGAGCTCTCTGTGAAGCCAAGCACACTATTAGGCAATACACCTGGCTATCAAGATGAATGCGCCTACCTGTCACTTCCTGCTGTCGGTATTTATTCATTTTCACTTTTTTTTTTTAAAATTTTGGGGAAAATTTGGCACGTCACTGCCATATTTGAATGATTTCGTCTAATGTATCCCTTGCAGCTTGTGGATCGCGCGGACCACACGTTGCGACCTTGGCTTCATGTTCGGCTTAAAGGAGGAGTAACCCTCCTGGACACCGCTTGGAAAACACCGTTTGGATTTTAATGAGCTGCAGCTTCGGGGGTTGTTTTAATGTGGGCTCATATTGTCGTCTTTGTTTTTACAGCAGCAGGAGGAGGGAGGGACTGTGCCATGGAAAGGTAGGCACAACAGATGTGTTTGTATGCTTTTCTCTTATCGTTGGGAAGAGGTTGATACAGACTTGGCAGCAGGCCTGGCAGTGCGCGCTTAATAAATAGGCTACTAGAACAGCCGCGGCGTACGACGTCGCTGTCACAAGACGCCGCCTGCGGACACCCGCAAACATGCTTGCGATGCGCATCTTTTCTGTACAGGCGCGTGGATGTGTGTCTCTTTGAGGCTTTTTACATGTATTTCAGCTGCCAAAAGATGTCTGTGTGGTAAAGTGCTCGCTTCAGTGTTGAACTGGCCTAAAGCACAAAATGCCCCCCCCCTCTAAGAAACTAACTCGTCACTACCCCCACCCCTGCCTCTGCAGGGTCATATGTAGGGACGTGGCAGCATATACAATAGAGACAACATTGTCGACAGACACACACACACACACACACACACACACACACACACACACACACACACACACACACACACACACACACACACACACACAGGCTAACTGCGCTATTATTACAGTAGTATAGTGCAATACAAAAAATCTGATACTTGCTTTGATATTTTAAATGACGTTCCTTCTTTACTCTGACTTTCTGTTGGAGTCCAGCTGAGGTGAGTGAGGTGACCAATTGAATGCCATTTTGGTTTAATTAGTGGAAACAAACACTTCTATTGCAGTGACCTTAAACTGTCCCATAATACTGACATGCTCACACCCTGTGCATGTTTTGAGACTATTTAGTGAAATAATCTGCTGTCTTCCCATAGTATAAACACATGAATTCTATCTATATAAATAAATACTTGAATAACATTATCAGTGTAATAATCTATTCATTATGGCACTTGTTAGTGGGTGGGGTATATTAGGAAACAAGTGAATGTTTTGCCGTCAACATTGATGTATCAGAAGCAGGAAAAATGGGCAACCATAAGGTTTTGAAGGAGTATGCCAAGGGCTAAATTATGATGGCTAGAGGAATGGGTTAGAGCATCTCTAAAACTGCAGCTCACTGTGTGTGTTTCCAGTCTGCAGTAGTCTGTATCTGTGGTTATCAAAAGTGGTACAAGAAAGGAACAGTGGTGATCCAAGAACACAGTCATGGAGATCAAACTGCTGAAAAGGTTTATACTGGTTCTGACAGAAAAATGTGAGAATACATGGTGTATTGCAGTTTATTGTGTCTGGGGTTGCATAGGCACAGACCCATGCTGACCCCTGTCCACTACCTAAAGTGGTAACAACGGGCATCAGACCTCAACCATGGAGGAGTGCAAGAAGGGGGCCTGGTCTGATCTATTTCAATTCAATTGAATTTAATTTATATGGCGCCAAATCACAACAAAAGTCGCCTCAAGGCGCTTCATAGATACAGAGAAAAACCCAACAATCATATGACCCCCTATGAGCAAGCACTTTGGCGACAGTGGGAAGGAAAAACTCCCTTTTAACAGGAAGAAACCTCCGGCAGAACCAGGCTCAGGGAGGGGCGGCCATCTGCTGCGAACGGTTGGGGTGAGAGAAGGAAGACAGGATAAGAAGGAAGACAGGATATCTGATCTGACCTTGAAAGATATTATAGTGGGTTATTTAACAGTGTTTATCAGAGTAGAGGAACAAACTGTCTCTGCAGCGGCTAGGTTTGGTAAACAGCACTGTAGGTAGGGGGTTCTCAGAGTCCACCATCATTTCTACTGTCTTGAGTGGGTTCAGCCCCAGATGGTTCTGACGGCACCAGTGGACCAGCTGATCCACCTCCCATCTACCTCCCATCTATACGCTGATTTGTCATTGTTCTGGATCAGACATTGGTCTGATGATGATGGCGTTATCTGTGAACTTCAGGAGTTTAACAGATGGTTCTCCTGAGCTCTTTGCCAGAGGTTTCCTTAACGTCATGCATTCTATTCATTTTACACAGCATGTCTCTGGTCCCACACACACCAAAGGACACACAGTGAACCTTGTTTTTACTTTAGGTTTAAACGTTGAGTTTATTTGTACTGGTGACATTTTTATTTCGGACCATTGTTGTATTCTTTTTAACCTGTCTTTTCATCTGTCCCTCTCTACTGTTCAACATGTGGTTAGCTCTCGCATCTTAAATTCCTCTACTGCTGTTAAATTTTCCGTTACTTTTAATTTAGTTTTATCTCCTTATAACGATATTCATCTTTTAAGAAATCTTTTTAATAATCATTCTCTTTTTATTTTAGACAATGTTTGTCCTGTCAAAACTAGACTAGCTCCAGTTTCAAAGTCGTCCCCCTGGATAAATGACAGCATTCGCTTCTTAAAGTGTTGGTGCCGTAAGGTTGAGCGTTTATGGAGGAAAACTCATTTGCATGTCTATCTCCTTCATTTAAGGGACCTTTTAGTCTCTTTTAACACTTCAGTTCGAGATGCGAACTAAGTTCAGACTTTGTGTCTAAGAGCAGAGGTAACCCCAAGGTACTATTAGACACTATTAGTGATATTGTTGCTCCTGCTCCATCTGCCGTCCCAATTTCATTAAATGAAGATTTTGAAAAATTTCTTTCTTTCTTCGTTGAAAAAGTCAGTAATGTGAGGAATCTCTCCTTCTGTGTCTCTGTTGTCAGCTCCAACTCAAGCTAGGCCTGTAATTTTAGAAAGATTTTTACCTGTGTCCTTACCAGAGCTGGTCAAGTTAGTTGATTCGATGAGAGTATCCTCCTGCTCTCTTGATATTTTACCTGGATCTTTGTTTAAAAATGTCTTTCAGTCTATTGGTCACTGTGTGCTTACAATTATCAATACCTCACTGATTTCTGGTCAGGTCCCTGTTTATTGTAAGAATGCTGTTATTCACCGACGGTTAAAAAAAACACCAAGCTTGACGCTTCTATTCTCTGTAGCTACAGACCAAATTCAAAATTATCGTTCATTGCTAAGATTTTAGAAAAGGTTGTGGATAAGCACCTTATAGCTGTTTTAGATGAATACAGCATTCTGGATAAATTCCAATCTGGCTTTCGTAGAGCTCACTCTACTGAAACTGCACTTCTTAGAGTCTCCAATGACATTTTGATGAGATGTGATGCAGGAGAATGCTCCGTTTTGTTGATGTTGGACCTGACCTCCGCCTTTGATACTGTGGAACATCATATTCTTCTAGATAGGCTGAGACACTGGGTGGGTATATCAGGGGCTGCTTTGGACTGGTTTGAATCTTATTTGCATGAACGATCCTTTTCTGTGGCTACCTCTAAGTACAGTTCATCTTCTATTTTTCTTGCCTATGGTGTGCCTCAAGGTTCTGTTTTGGGGCTTTTATTGTTTTTGTTGTATTTACTTCCTCTTCAGCACATATTGAGCACTTTTAAGGACATTTCGTATCACTGCTATGCAGATGATATTCAGTTATATATCTCCTTTGAGCCCCAAGATGTTTCCAAGCTACAGATTTTTCATAGGTGCATAGACTCCATTAGAGGTTGGATGGCTGGAAACTTTCTTCAACTAAATGAGGAGAAGACTGAAGTCCTTGTTTGTGCTCCTTTTTTTTTTTTTTTTTTTCTTGCCTGTCCCGTTTGGCTCTCTTGCCATCAGAATTATTGTCTAAAGGCGAAGAAAGATGCCCAA